AATTGGCAAACACGCTGCCAGCGTACATAACGGATATTAATATTTAAATTTAATACTTTATTTATGTAGAAATTTAGAAATAAAAAATAAAATTAAAAATCTTTTCAATAATCGTTTGAGTGTATATCGGTGTTTTTTTTTTTGATAAGTGAAAATGGTGTGGTAACCCCGCCTGTGCTAACGGGATACGCTGGCGGAGCACCAGTGAAGGGTGATAGATGAGAATGAAAACAGGCCAGTTAGCCCATCATGATGAATTCATCAGGAATTAACCACGATAGTTTCCAAGAGGAACCACGAGGAGGTCGACCTGGTTGGGATTGGGCAATGGGATTCTCAGTCTCCATTACTAACAATCCCTTTCCCCCCTGTATATCGGTGTTAGGTACACCTAAAATAACTATGTTAAATAAATATATTTATAACATATTTAATGTATGAAATATGCATGATTTTTTAATTTGCTATTATTTATTTATTTCAAAATTATTTTATTTAGTAAGTGCAATTATCTACCTATAATTTCTTAATGAATCTTTTTAAAATAGTTGAAAAATAGAACTAATTTTTTTTTGATACAATGATGTGACGCTATTGAAATCTCTTATATGTTGCGTTGTTATTTGTGGACTAAGATTCTATATGTAGAATGTGCCTTCTGACCATGAAAACTTGAGTATCATTAAAGCCGAACGACACAAAAAACGTACATATCTGTAGCAATTATAAGTTACAATAGAATTAGTGTGCTACTATTGTGAGCTTAAAAATAGGTTAAATAGTATATTTAATGTTTTTTTTTTTTTTTTTTTTTACAACACAGGGGGCAAACGAGCATGCGGCTCACCTGATGGTAAGTGACTACCGCCGCCCATGATCACCCACAACACCAGCGGCATTGCAGGTGTGCTGCCGGCCTTTTAAAAAGGAATATACTCTTTTCTTGAAGGTTATGTTGTCGTATCGGTTCGGAAATACTGCTGCTGGAAGTTGATTCCAAAGAATGGTTGTGCGTGGAAGAAAGTGCCTTGAAAAACGCACGGTGGAAGACCGCCACTCGTCCAGATGATTGGGATGAAACTTTAGTTTGTGGCGGGTTGTACGGTGGTGAAAATCAGCAGCAGGTATCAATCCGAACAATTCCTCAGAACACTCCCCATGATAAATTCGGTAGAAGATGCACAGAGACGCAACATCTCTGCGCAGTTTCAATGGGTCAAGTCGGACAGTAAGGCGTTGACTATCGATAATTCGAGCCGCCCGACTTTGAATGCGGTCTAACGGAAGGAGTTGGTACTGTGGCGCTCCTGCCCACAGGTGAGAACAGTATTCCATATGCGGCCTGACTTGGGCTTTATATAATTTCAGGCGGTGTTCTGGCATGAAATATCGTCTCACCCTATTGAGCACTCTTAACTTTTTGGAAGCTATCTTAGCCTTCTCCTCCAGATGACCGCAAAACTGGACGTCGCAAGATATATCAACGCCCAGAATTCCTAGACTTGACTTTTTATCAAGGGAAGTGCCCTGAATGTGAGGAGATACGACAAACGGCGTCTTTTTTGCGGTAAACGCGCAGACTTGTGTCTTTTTGGGGTTAAATTGGACAAGATTTTGTTCACCCCAGATCGAAACTTGATGGAGTGAAGTTTCGATTTCAGACACAAGTCTATTCCGGCACTCATCGGTATGTGCCCGCGAGATCTTTGCATGACCGGTATATAATGTATCTCCTGTACTGTCGTCCGCATAGCAATGAATATTACTTATCTGTAACATATCATTGATATGCAGAAGAAACAGAGTCGGAGATAGTACACAGCCTTGCGGGACACCAGCATTCAAAGGTTTTAAATCAGAGCATGCACCGTCGACTACGACCTTAATGCTACGTTCCTTGAGAAAACTGGCGACCCAAATGCACAGTCTCGCAGGCAACCCAAATGAAGGTAGCTTTGAAAGCAGCGCTCTATGCCACACCCGATCAAAGGCCTTCGCAATATCCAGACTAACTGCTAAGGCCTCTCCCTTACTCTCGATTGCCACTGCCCATCGGTGTGTTAAGTAAGCTAAAAGATCACCGGCCGAACGTCCCTGTCGAAAGCCATACTGGCGATCACAGATCAGCCGGTGCTCTTCTAGGTACCGGAGCAGTTGACGGTTAATGATGGATTCCATAACCTTCGAGAATAGGGAAGTGATAGCTATGGGCCTATAGTTAGCTGGATCTGAGCGATCTCCCTTTTTAGGGATCGGATGCACCAGAGCAGTCTTCCAAAACTTTGGGACTATGCCCGATGAGTAGCTAAGCCGAAAAAGACGCGTAAGAACCGGAGCCAACTCTGGTGCGCACGTCCTAAGCACAATTGGAGGAATACCATCAGGCCCACTCGACTTATGGATTTCGAGAGAGAAAAGTGCTCTACGCACTGAGCTATGCGTGAATTTAATGTCAGGCATAGAGCTCCTACAACACGTGATGGTCGGTGGTGGTTTCTCCCCGTCATCCAATGTCGAGTTTGACGCAAAGATGGATCCAAAAAGATCGGCCTTTTCTTTAGCGTTCTGGGCCAACGAGTCATCCTCCCTGCGCAAAGGTGGAAAAGATGACTTACAGAAATTCCCTTGTGCAGCTTTGGCAAGAGACCAGAAAGCTCGAGTCCCAGAGGGCAAACTAGCCAGTCTCTTGCCAATTCTACTAATATGCTCTGACTTCGCTGTGGCTATAACTCTTTTGAAAGACCTAGAGGCAGAGTTATACTTCTTTTTAAGAGCACTGGTGTTAGGATCTCGCGACGCCACACCTTTAGCCCAGGTTAGGAAACACTCCTGTTTCAGACGAGATGCTGTTCTACAGGAGGCTCCATACCAGGGCTGGGATTTCCCGCCGACGGGCACCACAGAGTTAGGAATAAATAATTCCATTCCCTGAAGCACCACATCAGCAATGGAATCGGCAATGGCGTCGGGATCATCCAGTGTGAAGCAAACCTGCCTCCATGGGTAAGATGCGAAAAAAATCCGCATCTCATCCCAATCTGCCGACCTGTAGTGCCAAATGCGACGTCTACCCGTAGAACGAGGTGGAGTCGGACTCGTAAGAGGCACTTCGCTCCGCACCAAACAGTGATCCGACGATCCAAGCGGGGCTTCGACGGAGATCACATAGTTGTCTGGGTGGGTGGTCAGCAGAAGGTCCAGCAGTGAAGGTGAATGGTCCAACACATCAGGGATTCGCGTAGGCGAGGAAACAAGCTGTGTCAGACCATAAGCCAAAGCAAAGTCATGAACAGATCTTCCCGCATAGTCGGTTGTACGCGAACCAAGCCATTCGGCATGGTGGGCATTAAAGTCGCCAACAATCACGACTTCAGCGGAAGGAATCTGCTCAAGCAGGGAATCTGTAGCCATTTGGACGTGCTCAATTAGTTGGTCGGTTTCAGTGTTACCGCTGTGGGACCTGTATAGGCACGCATAGATGCGGGGATGGTCATTGCAATCTACGCGCAGCCATAGAATGGAATGTTTCACAATATATGTATTATTTTGTCTATTTTTTTCTGAATTAATGTTCATTTTTAACAAACGAACCGTCACTATCTGTTTTTGTATTAAATTTCGGAATAAACGTGTTCCATCGTACGCATGAGGTTTGAGTCGGAAAAAGTAATTAGGTTTCATAGTAGACCTGATTATGTTATTCTACTACTATTCGAACCAAAACATAGCATGTGTATTGATGCTTCACGACAAAAAATAGGCAAACTATGTAATTGTTGAAAATTGACGATGAAATGTACACCGTCCGATGTTTATGACGCGTGACCATTCATAATCGCGTGTGCATGCAGGATCTAACGAGATTTCTAGTCATTATAATCTGCGGTTTTCTACTTAACCACAAAGTCATATGAAGAATTAAAAAAAAAACATAAATAATCAGCTTTTACCCATGATTTATGACCAGAATGCGTTCACTGTATCCTAGTATAGATGTATACCAAATTTCAAAGTGATTGAAAAAGGCACTAAGAGATAATAAACAAATAAAAAAGCCACTTTCACAGTTATAATATTAGTAAGCAAAATAGTAACAGCAATAAAAAATATTCAAAGAGCTCTATCAACTACAGATAAGCCGCATTTTCATTTTTATACTTGTACATATATTTAAAACTTCTAAAGAGTTTAAACCAAGTTTTAATTCGTGTTTAAATCATTATTCTTATTTTATAGGTACACTAGCGATTCGTTCTTGCTATACACGGGTTGATAGATAAAAAGATAAATTTTATATTAATTTTAATACGCAAAATTTTGATACTTTGGGTTCCATTATTGAAATTTTTGTAGGGATTTCTAATTTTTTTTTAAATAATATATAGCCTATTTTACTCGCTGATAATATAGCCTTCTATATGTGATAAATTTTTATAATTGGTTGAGTTGTTTTTGAGTTTGTCCATATATTAGTGTAGATGTATAAAACATATTTTTTTCTTTTTGGTTTTGACCAAAATACATGTCGTAAATATATTTTGGTGAAAACATCAAATTATGTAGATTAAACGATGATAATTTTTATATTGTACATTTTAACTATTTTTTTTATTCTTTCACCAAAGAGACTTCTCTTTAAAACCGTCTACATGGATACCTTTGTCTCATATTTTTAATATGAAACAGCTGTATTTACGTAGCTGTTCTGGTTTGAAAGCTATAGGTGAAAATTATAGATTATAAAAACATAGCGCCTTAGTCCTTAAGAATGGTAATGCCTGAGGGATACCATGGTCCTAACAGTTTATTCTGTGATGTCAATGGTGCTGTTAATGTCTATGGGTGACCGTTATCACTTTCCCTCAGGCAGTCCGTGAACTTATTTGCTAGGTATATTATAAAAAAAGGTTATCCACAGTTTTCTAAAAAATCAGTACTTTTGTGTAAATATCTATATAATAGATACTCTCTATATTATGATATAATTATGTATTACTTACCTCATTCAGATACAATGAATTATAATTAGTTTTACACTATCACATAATCACAGCACAAATGAAACACAATATTGGCATAATATTATCAGATCGTAGACTTTAAAAAAAAATTAGAAAATTTATCGACGTAATTATTTCCCGCGCATTCCATTAAACGCGCGTTTCCGCCGGCATTCGATTTTCAAATAATCCATTCAAGATGGCCGCGTATGATAGCATTATGTACTAGTGCTGCAACTACTAATTTATCGACGTTTTTCTTTACTCCTTTTGAAAATATCTACTATACATTACCTCTGTAGTAGATATTTATTTTTTACATCAAGTCACTTATGACATCAGCAGAAAGAATCGAGTGTCAAAGGTAATCCTTACATAATACTTCTCTAGCTTATAGGTTTTTTTAATGAGATGATAATGGATTAGTAACACCGCCTGAGCTGTCGGAATACACTGACGGGGCACGGGCGAGGGATAACAAATGATAATAAAGCTGACCAGTTGGTCCATCGTGACGCATTTTAAAGAAAAGTCGACCTAATGGGGTAAATGGGGTACCCCATTATTAAAAATCTCTCCTCCCCTCAACTTGTAGGTTCTACTAGGTCAGTTCAGTATATATATTAATAAGTGATGCATTTTACAATGTTTTACAATTTTCGAATTATTTTTTATTGACTACATTTGACTATACAAATAATGACCACGTTGAAAGTTTAAACGCCTTAATATTACACGGTTAGTAAGTTAGGTAGGCACGTCCACAATAGCATTATAGGAAATAAAAAGCATCTCCATATGACCAATGGATAGGTAGTTAGTAGTTAAATATCCAATTATTGGGGGAGGGGGACATTGTCAGTAATGGGGATATTAGTACACCATACGATCTTATCCGGAAATCATCGTTATTAATTCCTAAGAAGTCGCCATGAATTTGAGCCAACTGTTCTTAGTTAATTCTCACTGTTTGATTCTTTACTGTTAACCCACCATTGGGCATCATTAACTTAGTTGAGTGCGCTATTGCATTTTCAGCAATAAAATAAAAACAAAATTCTTACATATCGATATCGACAGTTAACAACACTTCTCTTCATGGACACCGTGTAATTTGGTGACACAGGTCTATCACTACATACATAAGTATATAGTTTGATGAACACTGTCCACACAAACACGAAAATAGATTTTTTAAATATTAACACGGAAAAGGTTATACGCCTCCGTTGGAAGAACACAACAGAACAATTTTCTATATCTTCATAATTTTTTTATTAGATGAAATTATCGCGATAAACGTGTCTCAATGGACTGACTTAACTTCATCCCTTACTGGTACCTTACCAGCGTAAATCTAAAACACAGATAGGGTTACCATTTTCATTAATAATCATCATATTAAAACAAAGCTATTAGTTTACGCTGATGAATTTAAAAAATGGAATGACAGGTGAAAATGAAGTCTACTGGGTCAAAGTGACGAATTCTTCAGAAATTAACTACGAAGGTTTTCCGGGGATACTGCGTGGGTGCGTGGAGGTTGACCTGACTATACTAGATGTATGTATATTGCTAACAATGAGGGCAAGGCCACGAATTCCCCTAAAAATAATTGTATTTAATTCTTGATGAATTCGACACTATATGCCTACTGACCTGCTTTCATCCTGCCTATCATCCCTCACTGGTGCTCCGCTAACGTATATACCGATAAGAACAGGTTTCCTTCTTATTATTATCTATAACTTACTAAAGTAAAAGAGGAGATGGGATTGTTAGGAAATGGGTCTAATGACCAAATAGCTAGCTATGTATATGGTGCCTTAGATTTATAATCTAAACTTTGTCAAGTCGATCTTCGGAGAGGAAAGGGATTTTTAGTAATAGGGTATTACTAAAAAATCCCTTTTTTGCTAGCAATATATACCTGGAAACCATCATAGTTAATTATTGATGATATGTAGTATGTAGACTACACTTAAAAATTAATATAGGCTGGCCTTATCAGTCACTACTATGGAATATAATTGAAACCTGTAATGGTGAATGTAAATTTTAAAACAAAGAGTTCTAATGTACAAGAGCTAAACTATACAGATGGGCCAATTGATCTACTTTCATCCTCACCTATCATCTCTCGCTGATACTCCGCGAACGTATACCGATAGCGCAGGTGGAACAGCCATTTCATCTTCACGCATTAAAAAATTCGATATTCCTGTGGCCTTTCTTATGTTTTTTTCATGATCTAAATTTTCTTCCAATAGAGTAGACAGAGTTTCCAATCCACATTTGTCTATTAAACAACCACGAAGGTTAGATACCTACTTGGTTTAATGAATGGACTGAACACACCATACTTCTTACGGAGGTAGTGAGAACCAAATATCAAAATCTTTACATACATCTTTTGGTCTTGTCATAATGTAATGGTACCTGTATAAATCTTGAACACACCCGCAATGTCTCTGTTGTAACGGGTGCTCGTTTTTTTGTTAATGGGTGATAATAGAATGGTAACCCCGCCTGCGCTATCGATATACGCTGGCGGGGCACCAGTGGGGGATGATAGGTGACAATGAAAGCAGGTCAGTTAGCCCATCGTGACGAATTCCGCTACAATTAACCACGATGGTTTCCAGGGGGAACCGCTTGGAGGTCGAGCTGACAGGGTGTATTGCTAGCAATAGGTCAGTTAGACCCCATTACCAACAATCCCTTTCCCACCCAACGGGTGCTCGTTGGCGAGAGTAGTCAATATCAGGTAAACCGCATGGTCATTTGCCCTCTATGTTATAAAAAGAAAGAAAGCTTTATTGACAGACAACTGCATTTACAAAACAAAAAAGACAATAATGAGCCATCCAACTGCTTGGTTCTCAAGCTAAGTTTTCCTGGAGCAAAATCCCGAATACCCTACCTCGGATCAATTTACAAGTGTTCGTTACCGGGGGAAAGGGATTGTTAGTAATAGAGACTGAGAATCCCATTGCTAGCAATATATCCAACCAGGTCGACCTCTTTGCGGTTCTCCCTGGAAACTATCATGGTTAATTCCTGATGAATTCATCATGATGGGCTAACTGGCCTGTTTTCATTCTCATCTATTACCCTTCACTAGTGCTCCGCCAGCGTATCCTGTTAGCGCAGACAGGGTTACCATACCATTTTCACCCATCAAAAAAAAAAGTGTTCGTTTCCTAAATTAAATAATTCGAGTCATACACCCAGGACCTTATATACAGAAAATTGACAAGATATAACAGTTTAAATAAAATTCTGAGTTCAGTTTTCTGTTCTCAGTCTTCGATCGGGTTATTTGTAAAAAAAAAACTGCATATCTATTAAGTTTCTATACCATTTTTTGTTTTTATTGATTACTTATTCGTATACATTACTAATAGTACCTAAATTTATGGTTCGTGCATAAAATGATCGTTATTGTTTATTACAGGTACAACATTATAAACTAATTCTAGAAAGTGCTTTTAATAAGCTAAAGTTACCTATAACTAATAAAACATAACATACCCTTAAAAATACTCGTTCGTACCATCATCATACAACCCATCAACGTCCCATAACTGGACACCTGTAAAGTGGATTAAAATAGATGAGGTTTGAGGTTTTTATGTTATTTATAATGGCAAACACTACAAGAACGGCATCAGTAATGCACTGTGACACTTATGGTGTCTCTTGTTAATTGTCATTGGCGTTTCCACGAACTATGATGTTATACTACCGTACACAGTAATTTCACTGCCGTGTGCCACTTTTCAAACTGAAATTTAACCATTCAAGCATTTCAAGCACAGCTTATTATTTTTTATTATTATTATTTCAGCCGTTAACTGTCCACTGCTTGAACATAAGCCTTCCCTATAAGGGGAGTTTTGCCAGTAGTTGCCATGATTGACAGACGGGTTATCAACCGCAATTAGACTTTTAGAGATGTTTTAAGAGGGACGCTGCTGCCCATTTCCCGCTCTCTCTTAGCCTCTTACGACACCCACGGGAAAGGAAGGAGTGGCTTATTCTATGCCGAGGTATACACGGTACATGTTCTTCATGGCAAAAACACACAGAGATACCCAGCGGACGACCTTTGTATAAAGTTTCCCTCTGGTAAGTTTTTTTTTTCAATCGACTTCAAAAAGAAGGACGTTCTCAATACGGTTGTATTTTATTTTGTTTAGACCTCATAACTCTGTCAGTTGTAAATCGACTTGGAAAATTCTTACTTTATCTGAAAGGATATACTTACAGTTTGGTCCCATGGAAAATTTATCAAACTCGGTTCAGTAGTTTAGTTTTAAATCAAAATAACTGGTTTTGCCACAACTGAAGTGCATGTTTTGTGGGACACAATCATATTCATTGATACATTGTACTAACTAGTCGGCTCTTACTACACCTTGAGGAGGAATACGGTGGCGAAATGGGCTATAGCAGGGGTGGCCGACTTGACTAGATCCAAGATCCACTGTTTACTGACGAAATCCTGTGCGATATGTAATTCAGTACACAATTATGTAGCTTTGTAGTATTTCTTATTTTATTAAGAGGGAAGACATAAAACTGAAAATTATTCTTAATAACTATTTATTTATATTAGTGTGAGCATTGCGTCTGAGCATCTTCCGCTAGATTATTGAAATATTACGTATACGTTTTGGCTTTGCCAGGATCAACTGGATTAATTGTCGCAATCGACCAGTTAGCATCCCTGGGCTATAGGATACTTATTTTGTTTAATTTTCAATAATATCAGTCGATGATCGTTAATGATTATAATCACAATATAATTTAGAATCTATTCCGTCAACAAAACGATACAAACGTGGCCTAAGGATGGGTAAAAGTTTATTTTTATTTAGAAATGTCAAACTTTGTACCGACGCGATAATTTGTGGGGCGAAAATAACCAACTGCCTAAATGATGCATGACACCTCGTGACGTTTGCAATGACGTCATGTACTATGAGGAGGTCGTGACCGGAATGTTAGATTATTAATATGAATTTTAAAAATTCAGCCGCTGCTTGAGTGATGTCTGTATGTCTGTAATAAAGTTGTGTAAGGAATTGTTTTTTGAGGCAGAGAAACAGTTTTGCAACAGATTCATGTCTATTTGTCTAATTTTTTTTGATGGGTGAAACGGATTG